CAGAATGAGTTCTGAATGTACTGCTTCCAGTTTTAAACCAGATGCAGGTGATTTGATCAGCATTTGGCTAGGCTTAGTGGGACCATAGTTAAAACAATTGGTTAATTGTTAGGGAATAGTCTGTGGTAAACCCATAAAGTAGTTTCCCCTTATCTTCGGGGGATACATTTCAGGACCCCTCGTGAATGCCTGAGACCACAGATGCTACTGAAACCTATATATAATATGTTTTTTCATATACATACATACCTATGATATAGTCTAATTTATGAATTAGGCATAGTAAGAGATTAACTATAATAATAAAACAGAATAATTATAACAATATACTTTACTAAAAGTTACATGAATGTAGTCTCTCTCTTTTTACAATGAGTAAATATCTTATTGTATAATATTTAACTATTTTCGGACCATGATTGACTGTGGAAAGCAAAACCACAGGTAAGGGGTATTGCTATCTGCAGTGCTTAATTTGTGACTGTTGTACTCAGTAGTATGGCGCAATTCAAGTCTTTATTATGAATCCTTTCTCTTTTTATTGCAAAATCAGTGTAAGCTTATTTATCATTGTTCTTTGATAGTTTTTTTTTAAATTTATAATTTGTGAGCCCTTGGTAATTTTTTAATGGCTTAGGACATAAAATTTACCATTTTGACCATTTTTAAGGATACAATTCAGTGGCATTAATTATAGTCATATTGCTGTGCAGCCACTGTCACCATCATCCATCTCTTGGAACTTTTTTCCCACCCCCACCCCCCAAGAGATGGAGTCTCATTCTGTCTCCCAGGCTGGAAAGCAGTGGCCCAATCTCAGCTCATTGCAACCTCCACCTCCCAGGTTCAAGGGATTCTCCTACCTCAGCCTCTCAAGTAGCCGGGATTACAGGTGCACATCGCCACATCCAGCTAAGTTTTGTATTTTTAGTAGAGACGGGTTTCTGTATGTTGGTCAGGCTAGTCTCATACTCCTGACCTCAGGTGATCCATCTGCCTCAGCCTCCCAAAGTGCTGGGATTACAGGCATGAACCACCGCACCCAGCCAGAACTTTTTAATTATCCCAAAATGAAACTCTGGACCCAATAAATCATAACTTTTACCACCCTCTCCCCCATTACCCTGTAATCACTATTCTACTTTCTGTTTCTGTGAGTTTGACTGTTCAAGGTACCCATTGTAAATAGAAGCATACAATATTTGTCCTTTCGTGTATGGCTTTTTTTTTTTTATTGTACTTTAGATTCTGGGATACATGTGCAGATCATGCAAGATTGTTGCACAGGTACATTCATGGCAAGGTGGTTTGCTACCTCCATCCTTCCATCACCTATATCTGGCATTTCTGCCCATGTTATCCCTCCCCAACTCCCTACACCCCGCTGTCCCTCCCCTAGCCACCCCTAACGGACCCCACTGTGTGATGCTTCCCTCTCTGTGTCCACATGTTCTCATTGTTCAACACCCACCTACAAGTGAGAACATGCGGTGTTTGATTTTTTGTTCTTGTGTCAGTTTGCTGAGAATGATGGTTTCCGGGTTCATCCATGTCCCTATAAAGTACACAAACTCATTGTTTTTTATGGCTACATACTATTCCATGGTGTATATGTGCCACATTTTCTTTGTCCAGTCGATCATTGATAGGCATTTGAGTTGGTTCCAGGTCTTTGCTATTGTAAACAGTGCCACAATGAACATACGTGTGTCCGTGTCTTTATAATAGAACAATTTATAGTCCTTTGTGTATATACCCAGTAATGGGATTGCTGGGTCAAATGGAATTTCTATTTCTAGATCCTTAAGGAATCACCACACTGTCTTCCACAATGGTTGAACTAATTTACACTCCCACCAACAGTATAAAAGTGTTCCTATTTCTCCACATCCTCTCCAGCATCTGTTGTCTCCAGATTTTTTAATGATTGCCATTCTAACTGGCATGAGATGGTATCTCAATATGGTTTTGATTTGCATTTATCTAATAACCAGTGATGATGAGCATTTTTTCATGTTTGTTGGCTTCATATATGCCTTCTTTTGAAAAGCGTCTGTTCATATCCTTTGCATACTTTTGGATCAGTTTGCTTGTTTTTTTCTTATAAATCTGCTTTAGTTCTTTGTAGATTCTGCATATTAGCCCTTTGTCAGATGGGTAGATTGCAAAAATTTTTTCCCATTCTGTTGGTTGCCAGTTCTCTCTAATGATTGTTTCTTTTGCTGTACAGAAGCTCTGAAGTTTAATTAGATCCCATTTGTCTATTTTGGCTTTTGTTGCCATTGCTTTTGGTGTTTTAGTCATGAAGTCCTTGCCTATGCCTATGTCCTGGATGGTTTTGCCTAGGTTTTCTTCTAGGGTTTTTGTGGTGTTATGTTTAAGTCCTTAATCCATCTGGAGTTAATTTTGGTATAAGGTGTCAGGAAGGGGTCCAGTTTCTGCTTTCTGCACATTGCTAGCGAATTTTCCCAACACCATTTATTAAACAGGGGATCCTTTCCCCATTGCATGTTTTTGTCAGGTTTGTCAAAGATTAGATGGTTGTAGATGTGTGGTGTTGCTTCCGAGGCCTCTGTTCTGTTCCGTTGGTCTATAGCTCTGTTTTGGTATCAGTGCCGTGCTGTTTTGATTACTGTTGCCTTGTAGTGGCTTATTTTATTTAGCATAGTGTCCTCAAGGATCATCCATATTATAGCATGTGTCAGAATTTCCTTCCTTTTTAAGGATGAATAATATTCCATTGTAAGTATACAGCACATTTTGTTTATCTGTTCATCCACTGATGGATGTTCAGATTGTTTCCACCTTTTGGCTATTTTGAGTGATGCTACTATGAACATTGTATGCCGATCCCTTTTAAACTCCTATTTGTATGGGTATGTGTATCTCTTTCTAATTTTGACCATTAAAACCAATCTGGAATAAAACATGTTCTATAATCTTCTTTAGAGCTGTGTTGAGTCTAGCGTAGTATTTCTTAAGCAATCTGATCCTAATTCATTCCTATCTTGATTTTAGGGTTCAAGTAAAACCAGTGGTTCCAAGCAGCAGTGGACTAAAATTCTATGGTCTTGTAAGGAAACCTTCCGAATGCAGCTTGGGAGACTATTAGTGCATATTTTGTCACCAGCCCACCCTGCACAAGAGAGAAAGCAAATTTTTGAAATAGTTCATGAACCAAATCATCAGGAAATACTACGAGACTGTCTCAGCCCATCCCTACAAGTAAGTATCTCAGCTTTGATAAGATAAGTAAAACTTTTGGTGAAATATAAAGTCTGAATAAAACAAGAACTGAAATTAAACCGAATTTTCATGCCTAATTTATAAATATAATTTTCTTACCAAACAAATTTAACCTAAGGTCTTTCCTCAGGTGCTTTACACAGGCTCCATTTGACCTCTGTGTTTATTTCCCAATCTTATTTCTAGTGCTTAAATTAGAAGTTCTGTATCAGAGTTTCTATCAGATACTTTGTAATGTGTTAACATATCTTAAAATGCTTTCTTTAAGGATTGTTTGGAGGCTTTTTTGAAAGGCTTATATTACCTGTGAAACATCTATATTGAATAGCTCAAACAACAGTACATATAACGTATCTAAAAAATATATATAGTAAGTTAAAATAGAAAAAAAAAATCATTTGGAATAATCAAACCCAAAATACCTAAAAGAATTTCAGAGTCCATAAAGTCTATCACTTCAACAGTGGTAGATGGAAAATTTAAAAGGCACATTAACCCATATTGTAGGGCTGTTTAACAGTTTCTTATAAAATTAAACATATATTTAACTTGTGACCATGTTATTCCATTTCTAGATATTTACTTAAAAGAGAAATCAAAACATATGTTTATAAAAAGACTTGTTTAAGAATATCCATGGCAGCCTTTTTTCATAATGGCCAAATTCTGGGAATATTCAAATGCTTATCAACAGAAGAATAAACAAAGTGTGATTTCTTTTACCTGTAGAGAGAAATCTGTATAGACTATTCTACAGCACTGTGTAGACTCTTCTACAGCTCTACAAAGGAACAAACTACTGATACACCTATCATTATGGATGAATCTCAGAAACACTGAGTGGGGAAAGGGACAGCCAAACACAAAAGAACACAATCTGATTCTATTCATCTGAAGTCCAAAAACAAGCAAAACCAAGATATGATGATGGAATTTGTGACAGTAGTTGTCTCTGTGGAAGGGGAATGGTGAGAAAGGGAATTGACTGGAAAGGAGTTTAAGAGAACTTTTTGGGGTGATAAAAATAAGATCTTATTTTGAGTAATGATTAAGTGGATGTATGCAGTTGTCAGAACTCATAGAAACACTTAATGTATGTATGCTTATTACATGTAAGGTATACCTCAATAAAGAAGGTGAGAGAGGATATATTAAAAAAGATAATATCATCTTTAATACATAGAAAACTCACATTAGGAGTCAAAACTATCTTGAAGGGATACTCGTAGGTGCTCTTTCCAGTATTAAGACACTTTCAAGTACACTGAAGGCACTGTCTTCCATTTCACAAGACAGCGACATATTTAGCCCGTACGTTCCTTCTGTGGAGAACTTGAAGTGGTGCTTTTTTCTTTCCTTTATACCCAGCAAAGTTGCTCTCCATCAAAATTCAACTGTGGTGTTAACAGTCCACTTTTCCTCATGCTGGTTTCCCCTCTCCACCAATTTGTGTCTGTCAGTGGTATCATTATTGAATTTCAGCCTGAAATATTGAACTGTTACTGTCATTGACTTTTTCTTCTCTTTCTCAATCCATTTCATCACCAAGGCCAGTCATTTATTCACCCACAAAGACTGAGGATATAATCTTTAACCTAATAATTTTAGCAGCCACTGATGATAATTACCAAGATATACTTTTTCATTAAGGAGTTACAAAATAGTGATTTCTCTAAGTCTCTCATTCCATCAACATCTGTAAGCTCTGATTCTTCTATAGGGAGGAACTTTCCCTTGTCAACTATTTGGCTACCTTTCTTTTTTCTCTTTTTTTTTTTCACTGTTCAAGGTTTATTGGGGGTTTTAGTTGGTATGACACTTGGATAGTTGGTTACATTGTTTATATGTAGATCTTGTTACATTATATGGTAATGTACACTGCTGATATAGTTCACAAAATAAGATCCTTTGGAACAATTATGCACAAGACACGCAATATTAGATTTATACACTGGATCCCAGGATGTTATTGATTGGAAAAAAAAAGTTGAACTAGGCATGTTCAATGAAGGAGCCAGGAAGTTATATAAAACATGGTAAACATCCATCTGGTTCAAGGGGCAACCACAGCATGTGCAGCATCTGCAGTGGTGCCTCAGAGGTGGCAGAACTATTTCACACTAACCATTTTAGGACTACTCAACAGTAGCACTATCCAGCATCAGGATATAGCTGTAGGATTTTACAGACCATTCCTATTTCTAACTTTAGGAATTGATGTTTTTCCCAATCCATCTTAACATTACTGCTTTAATCACAGATCAGATAAAAAGGACAACATGCACAACCTCCAGCTAAAATCCTGTTGTAGCCTAGACAGTGAAATTGTATGACATCAGAAGACTTTAAAATTGCAGCTCTTTTTGGATCCCCTAAGCATATCTGTACTCTTCTTCAAACGGGCCTGTTCCTTGGGAGTCAGAGTCACCTTCACAAGGTCTGAGATTCCATTCTGTCCCAACATGCAAGGAACACTAAAGAAGACACCAGCCTTTATATCATGGAGACCCTTATGGTGGAATTAGATGCACCCGCCTAAGATTCTTCATTATAGTCTGCCAAATCTGCCACGGAGAGTCCAGTGGCCCAGGATATGTAGCCTTTGAGTTTGATCACCTCCTAAGCACCCTCAACCACCTGCTTATGAACTTCTTTCCACTGTTCCTTATCTGTATCCGTCCCTAAATCTGGGTGCAGAGTCTTCAGGGAGAAACCAGCAACATTCACACCACTCCATACAGGCACAGCTAGAATCTCCATGTTCCCTAAGGACGCACCCATGACAGCTTAATGGGTGAACTCCCAGCCCTTCCTCCATCAGGTAATGGAATCGGGCTGAATCCAGATTGCAACCACTTCCAGTAACAAGGTTTTTGGGAAAGCCACTTATCTTCCAAGTTACATAGGTCAAGATACCAACTGGATTTGAAACAATAAGCAATGTGCAGTTCAGGCTGTATTTTACATTAGGAATGATGAATTTAAAGATGTTCATGTTATGCCGGACCAAATTAAGATGGCTTTCTCCCTGTTGCTGACATGCCCAGCCATGGTATGACCAGCTTGGAGTTTGCAGTTACACTATAGTCTTTGCCAGAGATAATCTTTGGTGTTCTAAGGAAAAGGCTGCCATGTTAGAGATCCATCATCTCGCCCTTCAGTTTGTCTTCCATGACATCAACAAGAGCAAGTTTACCTGTCAAGTCCCTCATTAAGATACTGATGGCACAGGCCATGCCAACAGCACCAGCCCCAACAACTGTAATCTTATTCTGGGGGTCTGTTCGTCCTTTAGAAGATTATGAATTGGCTGATCCTTCAGAGTTTCCATATTGGACTTGGAACCAGAAGGAATCAGGAATTCACTTTGGGTGGGCATCACGGGGCGCGGCAATGAGATCTGGACCTGGAGGGAGGCCCCAGCCCCTTGGCTACCTTTAAATATAGTCAGTCAAGGAAAGGCAGGAAAAATTATGTTTCCTTCTCTGTTTATTAATTTTTAGAATGATGAGTTCATGCCCCTAGTGGCCTCTAATTTTTGTATTTATTTTTATTTTTGGAGTGTCATTAGGAACTCAGGTATCATAAAATAAGTGGTATGTGTTTTAGTCTATTGCAGTCATTATTCAGTTTAATATTCAAATTAACACCTCTGTAGATTCAAGTTGTTGTGTCAACATGGCCTTTTTCATTTTAACAAGTTAATACAATTAAACTTCCTTGTTTTCTGGCACAGAAGAATGTCCCAGGCCCACCTTACACATTTCCTTCCCCAAACCTAGAACCTAACTTTCCTCCCAAGAAGCCTTTATTTCCTTTTAAGATGATGATGGTATTTAGAGACTACAAATCTGGGGACTAGGTATGTTTATTTCTACTAGGTTGTCATTTCTTCTCAACCTTTTTTAGTGGACAAAAGTAGGAAATACATACTTTTTTTAGAAAGAAAAATCATGAGTTTATACTGATACTTTCACTTTTTCTTGGATTTTTTTTTATTTGTATTTCTTTTAATGTTGATATCTTGGTTACTAACATTAACATAATCATTTATTTACTTTGTCTTTCTACATATATAACATTTTCAAAATAAGATGACCAACATGATCGCTAATAACAATCCTGCTGAGTGCAGTTTCAGATGTCTTTGTGGTTCTTTTTGTCCTTAGCCTGTTATTATGATTATACAGTGAAAACACTGTATTATAAAAGCACTTAAAGTCGTTTTCTTTATTTGGTCATGCCACCAGCTTCAACCAATTAGTTAGGTAGGTGGGCTTTTTTTTTTTTCAGTTTGTTTTATATTTTTAGGGATTCCTTTGGGTTTTTGTTTGCTTGCTTAATTTTGTTTTGATTACACAAACATGTAAAATGTCTGCATGGTTCTAAGACCAATGTTGTGAAATAGCAAATTCAGAGAGGTTCTAGCTTTTATCCTTTCACCCTCCTGTTATTTTTCCCTTCCTCTGTAGGTAACTATTTTTTTCTGTTGTAGATAAGCAAATTTGTGTATACATGTATTTATACATGTAAATATTCTCTCCCCTACTTCCCAACACAAAGAAAGATAGCAAAATATACACACTCTTCTGCATCTTACTTTCTTCACTTAATATATCCTAGAGATTTTTATTACATATTAGTATAGAGTGATCTTTATGCCTTTTACAGCTGCATACATTTAATTTGTATTTCATTTGTAATCTGCCTGGGTTTTTAAGCCCCAGGCTTCTTTTCTGCTGTCCCAACTTGATTCTGATTAACTCTCCAGCCTGCAGACCCTCTTCTCTTCAAGATAATCACATCTTTTGTGTCTTGCGACCTCTTCATATCTTGTTTATTTTTACTGTCAAGCTATTCTATTCATATTGTCCACCAGCACAGAACACCTCTCTCTCCTTTGTCTGTTTATATCCCCATTCCTTTTTTTTTTTTTTTTTTTTTTGAGATGGAGTCTCGCTCTGTCACAAGGCTGGAGTGCAGTGGCGTGATCTCGGCTCACTGCAACCTCCGCCTCCCAGTCTCAAGCGATTCTCCTGCCTCAGCCTCCCAAGTAGCTGGGACTACAAGTGTACACCAACACGCCTGGCTAATTTTTGTATTTTTAGTAGAGACGGGGTTTCACCATGTTGGCCAGGATGGTCTCAATCTCTTGACCTCGTAATCTGCCCACCTCAGCCTCCCAAAGTGCTGGGATTACAGGTGTGAGCCACCATGCCCAGCCTCTGTATCCCCATTCTAACCATTCATTTAGCCATGACCCAGATTACCCTATACCTTCTTCGAAACCTTTCTACCTTTCTGTAGTCCACTTAGAACTCTTCCTTCTTAGAACCTTCATTGAAAAGTAATATTTTATATATTTTAGCATTTTCTTATTTTCTAAGGATTTATGTTTAACAGACTCAATTCCTTAAATCAGTTTTTGAGGGTGGAAAATAAGATATTTTTTGTATCTGTTCCCAATGACACCTTTTATAGTCCCTGAAATGATAATCAATAAGTGATCAGAGGGTATTAAAATGAGATATTAGAAACAACTTCAGTGTTTAAGAAAATCATGTGTTTCCTTGGATATTCACAATGAATAAAAACATTTTTGATAGTTTTTCAAGATATTTTTAGAATGTCATTGAATATTAAACTGAAGTACTTTTAGTTATATCAAGAACATTACCTTTAAGACACACTTAGGAAAATCTTCTAGTCATTTACCATTTTTCTTTATTTGCCAACTCTTTGGGCCTTTTACTCACAGAACTTCTGTTCATCTTTCTCTTTTGGTCAGGTAGCAGCTGTCTCTAACTGATTTAAAATGTTGCATTAAAATGAGCTTTGCTATTTTCATCACTGCATGTGTTCATCTTTTGCTTTTGGGAAATGACATGATGTGATTCAGCATGTTAATTTAAATATCACCCAAAATGTAACCATTTCCAGATCCATTTGCTGACATTTAATACTGTTCACAGTTTAAAATGTCATAAAACTAAATGCAGTGATATTTGTTTCAATGCAGATTTTTAAAGTAAAATATATGTGTTTAACTTGTTGGCAAAATTATTGTTTAAATAATACACACTGTACACATTAGAATCAGGTGTAATATCTATAGCATGTAAGGGCCACTTAAAAAATCATGAATGAACATTTGGTGTAGGTTTGTGCTGCAAAGGACAATTGTCATTACCTAAAGTAACACTGTAAATTTTGGTTTTAGGGTCTGTTCTTAAAAGATTGGCTAAAACAACTCTTCCCTGGTTATTCACATAGAACTGTCTCTGTAGGTCTCACCAGTTTGAGAGTTTTTCACGTTTTGTTCTCCCTAGGGAGTAGTGAATACTTACAAGCTAAAAATAGGTTTTAGTTCTAGAAATTTTACCAATTTCTCTTGTACTAAGCAGAAATCAAAGGAAGAAGAGTAAATAAACTTTAAGGTCTAAAGGAAGTTTTCCCTTCTACTTCAGTTTTTCTGTAAGAAAAACTGAAAATTATCTTCCTTTATCCCAGTTTATTTCCTGCATTCCTTTAGCAACTTCTCTCCAAAATTCTTACCCCAAAAGCTAGCTGGCTAGCTTTCTTACTTTTTAAAATACAATTTTATAAGAAAAAATGTCAAGCATACTGAGAATAGAAAGAATAGTATAATAAATACCATATAACCATCACCTAGATTTAACAGTTTTTACTATTTTTATCATATTGACATAATCTCTTCTTTTTCTGAATGATTTTAACATATATATATAGAAATCATGATATTTTACCTCTAAATTCTTTTTTAAAAACATTTTCCTATGTAACCATCACAACATTATTACGTCCAACAAAATTAGCATTAATCCTCTGTCATCAACTACTCAGTGCATAATCAGATTTCTGTAATTACCCCCAGAATGTCTTTTGTAGGTGCTTTATTCAAATCAGATGCAACCAAATAAATCTAGCAATATAATTTAATTACTATTAAGTAATTAAAATGTAAGAATTAAAATTCTAAATGATTTTAAAATTATTACTTTTTTTAAAGCATGGAGCCAAGTTAGTTTTATATTTGTCAGAGTTGATACATAATCACCAAGATGAATTGACTGAAGAAGAGCTAGACACAGCAGAACTGCTTATGAATGCTTTGAAGTTATGTGGTCACAAGTGCATACCTCCCAGTGCATCAACAAAAGCAGACCTTATTAAAATAATTAAAGAGGTGAGTAAATGAAACCATAGTTCTTTCTTAGGAAATTCCATCATAGGTAATTAAAGAATGACTGGCATTACTTTTTTAAGAACAGAGTATCATTGATGATGAACTTGAAATGATTATTTTATTTTTTCCTATATACTGTATTGCTCTTTTCTACAAGAGAAAAAAAAATACGCTTATTTTAAGGAGCATTTTGTTCTCCGTGGTCATCATTATTCATTATCAGTATCCTTCGGTGAAGGAAAGATTTTTGAAGTGACAACCAAGCTGAAGCATACCTTGTGTTAGGGGTTCTTTAATGAAAAAGCAAAATAAGGTGGCAAGCAACTATGTGTAAACTCATCAGGTTTAGCAACCCTGGTTAACCATTCTACTCTAACTTATGTGACCTAAATTGTATAGAAACAGAATTATAACATTGTTTAGATGGTTTATTATATTATTCTGGTCTCCTAGGGACAATATTTTCTCCTTTGTTAACTGGGTTTTGAAATTGGTTTGTTGGGCTGTGTGCCAAAATTTTATGTAGTATATTATTATCTAAATCTTTTAGGAACAAAAGAAATATGAAACCGAAGAAGGAGTGAATAAAGCTGCTTGGCAGAAAACTGTTAATAATAACCAACAAAGGTAATATTTTATATGTTCCAAAGGCATGTCTTTTAGGAATCCATTAGATTTCACATATACTTTTAAAGTATGTTTTGATAAATAAATTCCATGTATGCTTAACTATGAACAATCTTATTTGTTTAGTCTCTTTCAGCGTCTGGATTCAAAATCAAAGGATATATCTAAAATAGCGGCAGATATCACCCAGGCAGTGTCTCTCTCCCAAGGAATTGAGAGAAAAAAGGTGATCCAGCATATCAGAGGAATGTATAAAGTAGATTTGAGCGCCAGCAGACATTGGCAGGAACTTATTCAGCAACTGACACATGATAGGTAAACAACGGGAGGATGGTTAAAGTTGTATTCCATGAAGATTTTAGATATTGATGTTAAACTGAATTTGTATTCCAGAATTCAGACTCATAAAATCATGTCATTAGCTTAAACAATTTTGTGTTTAATCATTTGTGATTTTTTTTTCACCTTAAAGAATAATCATATGAGATTTTTTTTTTAATTCTTGGGGAAGAAAA